AATAAACAAATAAATACTGAATACAAAAATACTGTTTTCCATGAGACATTATTTGTGAAATTTCAAATATAAAATTATCAGTTTCATTCAAATGATCATAATTTTCAGAATTGTGTTGATCTGAAAGCTCCCACATCAATTTTTTGGATTGAAAATGAATCTGGACGGTGTTAAAAAAATGTATGGACTCTTCCACAAGAATTAAAGGAATATTTTTTCACTGAGAAAATAAAAGTGTATTTCAACATATTCAAATCAACTATGAGAATACAAAAACAAACTTGATGGATGAGATAAAGAAATAGATCTCATCATTAGTAATCAGCTAGGATATGAATGCCATATTTCAATTCAGTAAAAACACATCCTGAATGAGAATGGAATAAATATGAATATGGTTTCTGATTCCAACTGGATATGATTTTTTGCCAATATATGGCAATTTTTCGGTTTTATGTGTAGAAGAACGCCATGAATGAATATTTCGTGTTATATTTCTCATTATTCTGAAAAACAAAAATTCATTAAATTCCTGTTGAATTGATGTTCTTTGGAAAATCTGGTTCAACTTGAATGAATCATATATGTCATGATATACTTTTCATGTTGATAACCTTCCAAAAAAATTTAGGTCAAGATGAGCGCTCTTAAGTTTTTGAGTGTTTACAATTGAAAATTGCAAGATGAATTGTATTTTGCTGCTATATTTCACTAGTACATGTTTTCACGATTTCCTCTTTTGAACTTTTTTTGATCGTAACCAGTCAAAAAAGTAGTTAAGAACGACTTCACAGCATTAACATTCAGAGAATATAATAGAAAACAACCACACGAGTCGCAGTACTATAAAATTTACTGCTGAGGAGTGAGCTTGAACTATGAAGGGTTCTTCTAGTAAATAGTGAAAATCTAATTTTTTCTGATTTCAGTGTCCCGTGAAATTGCTTGGAATGCACGCGCTTTATTTCACAAAATGGAAAATTATTGATGCAGAAAACCATCATCACATTAACATTTCGAAATAAAAGTATTATTTTTTATGCTACCGAAGTGATTTCATCAAATTCTAGTTCTAACCACCTCACAAAAATTATATTTCATAGTTCACTATTGAGAATTTTGTATCTTCCAAATGTAACTCGATCTATTTTATAGAACTGAATTTCAAAAATTGTGAAAAGTGGTGATTGATTCTGAAACGTCAATTACATTACTGGAGTTTCTTCCCAACACCAAATCATTATTTTCAACACCTCGACACGTGTTTCGATCACCAAGTGATCATCTTCAAAGAGGAAGATTAAAACTAAGAACTAGTGCGCGGTAATCCTATTTATGCTATAAAGGTAACCCATACAGGTAAACCATATAGGTATACCAATCTAAATTGATTTAACAATTTTGCCTTATCTATAATTTTACAATATATGTTTATATAAAACAAATAGCCCTACAATACCCCTCGAGAAACCGTTAGTGGCTGGTATTTCCTGTATTGTACGTCTTTCTTTTGTGAACCTATATTGTGTTAGAGGGAAAGTCAAACGACGATACACTAAAAAATTCAACCCAGCACGTTTATGCTGTCCACAGTGATGTGAACTGTCAGGAATATACCTGTACGTGCTTGTTTCTTTTTTAAGAGGTATTGTAGTTGACATAATGAGGAAAAAGAAGTTTAGGTTAAGAATGAACGAAATCTAGACTTTCAAAAACCAAGATAAATACATCTCAGTTCCATGCCACCAATATACGAGGAACTTTGGAAAGATTTTTAAGGAACTAGGTATGAAGGTGGTTTTTAAAACAAGTCATACCCTACAGAGCCTTTTGAGAAGTCCGAAAGACAAAGTACAGAATTCGAAATAGTCTGGAATTTACGAAATTGAATGTAAGGACTGCGATGCAAAATATTATGGACAGACAAAAAGATCAATCAAAGTAAGATATAAGGAACACATAGCACACTTAAAATATGGAAGACCTGAAAAATCAGCAGTCGCCCATCATATTTTGCAAGTTCATTAAGATTAGTTAGACAAGTTAACAACAACAGGCAACTAGATGCCTATGAGAGTGTAGAAATAAGTAAACACAATAATATTTTGAATAACGATGACGGACCTATACCAAAGAGAATAATATATAGCTTGTTGAAATAAAATAAAATAAAATAATGTTGTTGGGTTTACTGATTACTACATAAGGACACATTGCAAAAATAAATTTGGATAGGCAATATTGTGAAATTAATTTTTATATAGCTGAAAATTGTTTTATATAAACATATATTGTAAAATTATAGATAAGACAAAATTGTAAAATTAATTTAGGTTGGTATACCTGTATGGTTGGTACGCCTGGATGGTTTACCTGTATGGGTTACCTTTATAGCATAAATAGGATTAGCTCGCACTAGTTCATAGTTTTAATCTTCCTCTTTGGAGATGATCACTTGTTGATCGCAACACATGTCGAGGTGTTAAAAATAACGATTTGGTGTTGGGAAAAAACTCCAGTAATATTCATTACTACACCAAAGGTTCCAAACAGTGCATCATAAGACTACATTCCCAAGTTATTAGTACTTAATCATAACGAAACCCCAATACATTTTCATACATTTCTCATTTTCCTAATTAGAACCGAATTATATTTTTCATCGAATATATGTTTTTGTATTGATCACAACATCCATGAAAACCTTCATTAACGGCAGATGCGTTCACAATTGCCTAACAAAACACCCCTCTCTAAAAAAATGGTCGGTCTTGCGGTATCATGAAAAGATATCATTCATCAAACGAGAATTGTGTCAGAAGCACTCAGATAAATGAGAGTTCAAGATATATACATGAGAGAACACAAAAATATAAATCATCACTCCAATAAATTAGCTATCCATTACTAGAAATATTATTGTACATTTTTTCAGTTCCGTCATAGATTGCTTTTACAGAATTGTGAGCGATCAAGCTGATGAAAATGCGTGATATCACGCACCCATTTATTTCGTGGGAAATGATTCAAAAGCTTTGTCACCTTAATGTACTAGTCAGGAAGATACATAGGAAAGGGCAGAATCCGAAACTGTCTGGTTCTTGTACAGGATATTTTTTGAAAAATGTGCATACATTATAAGTGTGAAATCCTGAATAATCAAGTCTATTGTTCTTTATGTCTAAACTAAAAAGTTCGCCCTTCTACACTTGTATAAAGTTCTCTATTATAATTTTTATATTTTTTAGATTGTGGAAGGTAACAAATACCCAAAAAAGGTCGATAAAAAACTGATTTTCCTCCATAAAAAATGGCTTTCGTTGAATAAACAAAATACTCCTCACGACATGTCTATAGCCTCAAATTATTGGGTGATTTTTTTACAGTTGACAGCTATCTGTTACAATTCAAAACTCAGTAATAAAATCTATTGTATCAGTATTTACAGTAAACTGTATACATCATTGATATGAATCTATACATATCGTTGACTCGTATACGTATCATATACTAAAATTACGAGTACATATAGATTGCTAACGAATACTCGAACTCGATTTTGTAAACTGGTGTTCTGAAAATCACACAGTATTATTTAATACATATTCAATAAATTATTTTCTCATTGTGTCACCACATCATGAGGTTTTCCACTTCTGTAGTTGATGGTTTTCTAAAGAATATTATGTATGTTTACAGACTTATGTTTTGAATGTTTCATAGCTGAGAATTCGAAATATTCAAGTATAAATCAAAAGATATTCTCGAAATCAAAACATGCGTACTCGCATGGTCCAAATTGCCATATGAGAGACAGGATTGAAGACAAAGTTTTTTCCATTTGTACACATTGACACTACCAGTATGCAAAATTCAATGAAGTGTTGTTCCATTCATAACAGATTGAGATATTGAGAAGTTGTTGCCAAATTTTATTCGAAAAATATCATCCTGGCAACATACAGCGACGTTATATGAGTGACTTGTATAAAATATGGAATTTTGACTAAGCCTCAAGACAAAAGGGATTTGGATATTCCATTTCATGTAACTTCCTGACTTAAGTTCGTCAACAGATGTTTTATATCACCCTCCAAAATAAGCAATGGTTTTTTATATGCATACTTAAATAATCAAGGCACAGTGAATGCAAACACTCATTGAAAATATTATACAAAAAAATAATAGATTGTAAATATCACATAATACTAAAAATTCACTAACTAGAACTAAAATTGAACAGGGTGGTCGAATGAAAACAAAACAAGTCCAGTTACTCACAGTTTGTTTCAAAACAAGAATTGCTCAACGGTCGATTCAAATTTTGAGAGGGGGGTAGTTCAAATATGTTTTCCACAATCCCTAAATCCTGAATAAGATCATGGTCATTTTTTTTTTGTTTGTTAGAATGAATGTCAGAAAACAAGATTGAAAGTTGACGAAAAATGATATCTTCAATCACTTTCCATAATGAAAATCAGGTGGAGTTGTGTGTCACGTGTACCTCAATTCCTGACATTATGCGCTTCTAACGGTTATGAACTGTCTAATACAGTAATTTTCCCGAGTAGGGAGGACTCGATCCTATGAGAGAAGGAAATATTAAGAGCAGATAGTTGTTGGTTCACAGATGGATCAAAAACACCTCCAGGTTCTGGTGTTTTCAGTCGCAGACCCAGAACAGAAATATCAACCCGCCTAGGGACCTGAGCGACTGTATTTCAAGTGAAAGTCTATGCTATTAAATTGTGTGTGGAGAGATTGGCAGAATTCAAGCTCATACACAAGTCAATAAAATTATTCTCGGACAGTCAAGCGGCGTTAAAAGCTCTTGGCTCCTACCGAGCACCGTCTAAATTGGCAGCAAATTGCCAAAAATTACTCTCCTCTATGGAAAGAGTCAACAAATCATCTCTGGTCTGGAGTCCTGGCCATACTGGCCTGGAAGGCAATGAGGCTGCTGACTCCATTACAAGGGAGGGTGTTGCAAGCAGCTTCATCGAACCAGTACCTGTCATTGGCATCGCTTTCGATTAAGCCAAAAAACATTGAACACTTATGGATTTATGGACTTCTGGGGAAACCTCATAAGATTGGCTCCCTCCAAGTCGTTTATTCACCCTTCAAAGCTGTTGGGCTACAGTAGGTAGAAACTCGATGTCGTCTAACAGGCCTTCTCACAGGTTAATGTTGTCTGAATCATCATATGCAGAGACTCGGACTGAAGACAACGTGAGTCGCCTCTGTTTGGAAAATGATGAAAGAGCCCAGCACATACTCAATGCCTGTCCCGCTGAGGAACGAATCAGGTTTTCAAAGTTTGGCAGAGCCACACTACCACAATCTGACCTGGAAGGTCACTCACCATGTAAACTAGTCAGCTTCGTTGAAACAGCTGGGTTTATTTGGTCGTGTGTAAATAGGTTCCAATTCCATTTACAATTCAGAAGTTAGATTGGGGATATGGAGGTAACAAGGATGAAAATATGGTGGCTGAATTTCAACTGTGAGGAATTACCCTTGTTTAACTTTCATTGACTCACTCTGTTGATAGTTTTTAAATCTACTCGATACCCAATCCTTTAATGACTTATTTGTTTCTGTGCACATTTTTCATTCAGTATCAGTTCACAGAAGTACATGAAATTTGAGAAAATATATACAGGATGATCAAAAGAACGCGAGGTGGTAACATCGTTTACATATAGTGTTTGTTTCATCTAGCTTTCATCAGAGGTGTCGATAAAAATAAAAAGAAAAACCGATAGAGGTATCACCAAATCTTTGATACAAGTGAAATATGAAAACTTGAACAAAGGACTATAAGTCAAATGTGTGAAGTAACTTTTTCATTCTCCCATTTTCCTGTATTCAGATCAACACTCAATAATATCACTGAATTAATAACAGAAGATGATACACGAACCAATATTCTTGTTTCTGTTCTAACCAAACACCACCACACAAGAGTTCATATTTTTTTCACAATCGTTCCTGTATCGGACTCTTCAGAAGGAGTGGATTCAGAACTGGAAGATTCCTTGTTCAAAGTGGCATTCGAATTCTTCGATAGGGTTGGTATTTGAGATTTTTTCAATGGTCGTACACCTACTTGGCACTGATTATCAACTTCTTGAACAGATGCATCCAAGTTGTCAGTCTTTTCTTCTGGAATTCTATTCGGTTTTTCCTTCTTGTGGTTGTTATTATGCTGTAGTTTCGGAATAATTTTTATTGAACTGTCCTCAAATGGTTTTTTCATCAACGGAGGTTTAGTGAAAAGTTTAGGATCACTATTCTTCAGTTCTGTGCTGGAACTGATAGTGGTTTTTGATCCGTTTCCATTTTTGACACTTCCCAAACTACCATAAACCTGAATATTATTCCCAGGTTGACGTCTAGGAATCAATGGTCCAACATAGAGGTTGTTGCAAACTATTTCCGGTTCCTCCTCTTGCTCCTCAGCCAATGCGGGCTCCGATATAAATACGGGTAGAGGACTACTAGACTGCTTGATCAGAGTACTGGCTCTGGGTGGAGGAGCGGGAGGAAATTTATTGAGGCTTTGTGCTAGAGGCGAGTTTGTTGGGGAAACTGATGAAGAGTCATTTGCAGGCATGTAGAGGCCCTGTATTGGCATTGACAGTCGCTTGTTTATTGTGGCCTGCCGACTCGGAAGATCGGGAAGAACTTTAGGAAAGTTTCTTCTCTTGATTGTCTTGAGGGACTCTTCAGGAGTCAAAGGAATAGGTTGGTCATTTTCATCCTTGCATGTTACATTCACGCTTTGATTGGGATCGAACGTTCTGAGTCGTTTCATAGCGGTATAGTCCACATCTTGTACAGGATCAGATTTGGAATGAGTGTGGGATATTTTTATAACAGTCGGCTGAAGATCTTCAAGATTGAAATGGATATTATTTGAACTTATTCTGGTATCTTTGTGTTTGTCAGAAATTCGAGGTGAGAAATCTTCCACAGTGAAGGACCTACGTAGTGGAACTCCATCTGGTTTAATATTGGGATAGTCTAGTGATTTGGTGAATTCGATTGGTTGTTGCATCAAGACACTGGGGCCTCTCCCGGAAGGAGTGGCATCAACAGCCACAGACACCTTGGGAACTTTCACCTTATGTCTTGTTACAGTTGACGTCTTCATGATGATAGGTTTTTGATCAACTGGGCTCACTGGTCTTGTTGGGCTTCGTCCTAGAGTGGAATCTTTGTCTCCTTTTGATGGAATCGTAAAATCTTCCGGAATGGATACTTTTTCTCTGGGGCTACTGTTCTGTTCAGTTCTCCTAAAGAATCTTGGGCTGTATTTATGAATTATTTCCTGTGCAATCCACTCTCTCACTTTCGTGTGGGCATCTATGGTACTACTAGACATTTGCCTCGACAGTTTGTGTTTTGGTATCGCACCAGATCTCACTGCCTCGTACGTATCTTCACTTTTGGGAGATTTATTCATCATTCGTACAATGTTGCAACCGTTCATCAAGAAAGTTTCCTCATCTTTGGGTCTTTTTTCATCTTCATTTGCATCCGTCGTAGTCGTGGTTTTTTCTCTTCCGTTCTTTTTATTCCTGTAACATTTGAAATAGAGAATCACGAGAAGAATCAAATTCACCATAAGAAATATCCCTCCTATGATAATTATTATGTTCATGGAAGAGCTCTGTTTGACCTCTTCAGCAGGTGCTTCTATGACTTTACCATAAATATTTTCCATAATATTGTCTGGTCGATTTGTCCCTGTGTTAACTATGGTACCAAAAACTTCTTTCGATTTCGGTTTGAACGGTTTCTCGAAATTTTCAAACTTATTTTTTGGGGTACTCAGATGATCGTAGAGGAATGATGGAAATGACGGAGTTCTTCGTGGAGGATTTGCCAGTGGAGGTTTATAGGGAGTCCTTTTGGTTGGATGCGATTGTGGATATAAGTTTTGTGGAATATTCTCGGTCAGGTTCGGAAATATGTCATTCCAGTATCTGATCTTGGAACTACGATAGTGCTGTGAAGGCTGTGGGGGAATCTCTGTAAACAAAAAAGCATCATTTTTAATTGATTCACTCTGTTGACATAACAAGCGAAGTGTTAGTAGTATCAATTGAATTATTGTATCATTTCATATCATTACACAACAATCATTCTTGTGACATGAGGAGGACTCACTAGAAAATCATCTTGTATTGTACTCGAAAATTCTAGAGACAGGCAGAGGGTCATAGATAGGATCAAAATTAGAATCGACAATCACGAGATTGAATTTAGCGATGAAATTAAATGTTTGGGACTTGACATTGACTACAAACTTCGCTTTCAATCACATGTTTTCAAGTCATTGATACGTAAAACTTATAGATTGTTGAAAATACTTCATTCGAACAGACATTTTCTCTGTCGAAACATGAAAATCATTTTATGTGATGGTTTAATTTCATCCATATTCAACTACTGCGATATTATATATGGCTCTTGTCTCGATCAAATCACATCATCAAGAATACAGGTAGTTCAGAATGCATATACAATATTGATTATTGGTTTGAAATTCAGAGATCATGTATCATATTCCATAAATCAGATTGGGTGACTGAAAATGATTAACAGAAGGGAACTGCATCTGGCTTACTTCGTTCATAACGTCAGAATAAAATAGCAACTTCAATATCTTCTGAAGAAGTTGATATACAAACGCGATACACATGATAGAAGTCTTAGAAATTGGACTGAATATTCTATCCCACGGCATAAATACAAACAGTTCGAGCGGTCGTTCTCTTATAAAGCAGTTAGTATCTACAATAATATCGAAGAGAGTTTGGAAACGCTTTCTTCATGATCTTTCAAATATAAATTGTTCATTTTCAATATGTTAGAATTAATTTCTTTCGTAAATAATTACCTCTGTTTGCTTGGTTAAGTGGAAGAAGAGCGATGTATGCTAAACTCCGACAAGTTAAATAAAGGTCATTTATCATTATCATTCATTCATTCATTATTATTCAATGGTTGAAAATGAATTACAAGTAACGTAATGTGACTTTCAATATTTGTTGCAGCAAACCCTTTCCTTTGATACACATATCATAAGGATGCATGGAAAATCTATCTATTGAAAACACTTTCCCAACACCAAAACAAAATCACGGTATTTCGACGTGTGTCTCACGAACCAAGTTAGCATCCTCAAGAGATCATTATGACATAATTCCAGTACCTACTATGTTGGTGTGTTTTATATGCTAGTGGCCTACCTACTACCTGTTGGTAGTAACTAACTACTGACGGTTAGTATTACCTAATTCTACATGTTATTGTGCCTATGCTGACCTATTTTTTCCAATAACTTCAATCTGTTATATTATATATTTCCTCTATGTTAGTGACTATCCCCTACATTTTTTCTCTAATATTTTTCTTTTTATTTATAATTATATGAGACCAAACGAAGGACTGTTCAAAAACGAACCTTTTTCGCTATTTTACACTTTTCGTTTTCCCAGCGTTCGAAGGCATCCAGAAACCTTTTGTCATGTACCGATCTCAACAATTTCGAACATTCATCACATATTCTGTGGTTGTTCTCTATGGCATGTTGAGCGAAATTAGATTTCTCCGGTTTATGAAACCGAATATGCCGAACATGTTCCTTGTAGCGAGATAATATAGTCCGTTTGGTTTGACCAACATAATTCTTATCGCAATCGTCGCAGCTTGTTTTAGAAATTCCAGACTTTCCTTTTTCCAATGTCTTATGTTTCGGACTGCCCAACATTTGTTGCGGTGTACGTGCAGTTTTGAAAGCCACTCTTATATTCAAGTTTTTGAATGTTCGGCCCAACCCATTGGTGTATTTGGATTCAAATTAAAACACTATAGTTCCGAATCTTTTTTTTTTCGAAAAGAAGAGGCATTGCAGAGCTACATCCTAAACTGTCGTTTTATAATTAATTTATCCACTGTGTTTGACGGATATCTGTTGCTTTCAACCACCTCTGTAACAAGTCTTCACTCAATCTCATACCATTCTTTGCTCAAGGGAAATGTGAGCTGTTTATGGACAAGACATTGTAGTCCCGCCATTTTTTGTCGTGGGCCATGATGGGAGCTGTCAGGGATATACCTGAAAGTGTTCGTATCCTTTCTATTTACATTAAACTCTAGATCCTCATCGACATTTTTAGTAACTAGTACATCCAGGAATGGAAGGGCCTCATTATTTTCAATTTTATTTGCATTTTATATGAATTTTATACTTGCAAATCTGTTGTTGAGGCAAAATACAGAATCCTCTACCTTACTCCCATTCGTATAGAAAATGGCAAATATATCGATTGAATTCAGGTCCGTGGAAAGTAATCCAACTCTTCCCTCACTTCCTCATTTCAAATCTGCTCATGAACAGATTAGCCATGTACAGGTTTCCAATTACTGTACCCTAATGTTGCCTATAAAAACTGTTGGCGAAATAAGAGCAATTTTGTTCCATGCAAATTTTGGAAAGCCCCACTTATCAAGCATCGAAAATCTAGTTCGACATTTTGAGCAATTTGCCATATTAGATGTAGAATGGCGTAACTTAGCCAAACATACATTCTTTTCCAATCCTGAGGTGTATATAAAATTTGATCCCAATCAGTTTCAAATAATTGCTCGAAAATTCACTTGCAAGATCTGATCTGCGAATATTCAACTTAAACTGCAGCAGAAGGTGAACATGTTCAAAAAACGTAAAATATTTCTTAAATATTTGCTACTGTTTGTGAGAAACAATTTCATGCATCATGCATGTATTTTGTAATGTGAAAGAAATAATTCTTACTCAGTTCGATATATCTTTCCTCCCTCAAATCAAACTCTGGCCATTCCACGTCATATTGAGCCCAATAAGCTGGATTCATACTATAAAACATCTGTCGATTTCTCTTTTCTTCATTAAAGAGGAAAATTGATGATCTCAAGCACATGAATCATCTTAGGAAACAGAAAAACTCTGAAAATAGTAATATGGCTAATGAAAGTGCCAAGAAGAGTGTTAAAAATTGAATACGTCAAGAAAAAATATATTATTTCATGGAAAAAGTCCAGGATTCTACCAACAAAAACAAAACACTCTGGAGTATCATGAAACAACCTCGAAAAAATGAAGAAAACAAATACATAGTACTAAGTCATAATGACAAGGTAATAAGTATCAAAGAAGAAGTGGCAGAAACATTCAGAGAGTATTTCTCAACAATAAAAAGTTGAGTTTACAGCGTGACTCACGGTCAATGGTAGGTTAGACGTTTCTGGAAAACGCAAAGCATGATTTGTCTGAAAATTTTACCTCTCAGATTTCCTTACCTGTTCTATCGATCTAAAATATTTTCAGCATTGCGGCGTTGCCACTTCCATCAAAAAGTCCTAGCANAAAACAGGAAAACTCTGAAAATAGTAATATCGTTTATGAAAGTGCCAAGAAAAGTGTTAAAAATTTAATACGTCAGGAAAAAATGGATCGTTTCATGGAAAAAGTCCAGGATTCTACCAACAAAAACAAAACACTGGAGTATCATGAAACAACCTCAAAAAAATAAAGAAAACAAATGCATAGTACTAATTCATAATGACAAGATAATAAATGCCAAAGAAGAAGTGGCAGAAACATTTAGAGAGTATTTCTCAACAATAATTGACGATATAAAAAGTTGAGTCTATATACATATCACATGTGTAATTGGAAATAGACTCAAAGGTTTTCATTAAAAATTGGAAGAAATGACATTGTTGAGTTTTTTATTAGAAAAATTAGGAGCTCAGTTATTTGGAAAATTTCAGAAGGAATCACGAATATCATAGAAACATGAGGTTACCTTTGATATTCGTGAAATGAGGTTTTTCGTAGGAAGAGATGTCATAGCTTTTTCTCACTGAAACTTGTTCTTCAAGAACATTTGCATCTATGGTTCAACCTAGCAGCACTGGTAAGACCTATGGTGGGTCAGAATAGTGCAGTTGGATCGCGAATGTTCCATCTGTGGACTATAATTTCATGTGAGTAATCTGCAGGGAAGACTGCAGTGTAATACAGAATACCAATCCCGTGATCGATGTCGAAGCTTGGCATTGAAACTGACCGCCTTTGGGAGACTCGTTAATTTTTGATATTCATGAATTGAGTCTTGTGTCTTTTTCATAAATGACAGCTTTTCAAGGAACCATGTTTATTAGGTTATACAAGATTTCTACTATTATCTATAATCAGAAAAAAACCCTTCAATCTTCATTTCGTAATGGACTTTTGTTCATATATAATGTCTAGGGATGGTGTCTTCGTTAACAACGCTAGTTTTCAAGCTCCGTTGGTCTAAAATGAACAATGGTCACAGCGGTGCTATGTTGCAAGATAAAGTCTTGATTTCGTGAGAGATCACATTATATCTTTTTGCAAGTTTCATTTCAGTCATTCAGTGGATAGCTCACTAGTGACATTTTTCATTGGGGTATAACATGTTTTACGGTTGAATAATTTCACAATTTCATGTATTTGGTGAATTCAGTCTAGCCATGCTGGAGATGAGTCAGGATTGAGCTCAATTAAAATCGTATATCGAGTTGTTAAGATCACTTTTCAATAGTTGAAGTCAATGAAAAATATCACGGAATGAAAAAATAACGATGAGTAATATGCTAGTACACTTATTCTTTTAACAATAATGCTACGAACACTAGAATATCAGTATTAGAGCTATTTTCCAGGTTTTCCGGTCATGGTCTGTTTTGTTTGGACAGAACACAAGCAATACAGAGGCACATTGGATTTGAATCGCTAGAGGTTCAATCCATATGGCAAAACGTTAGCAGGAAGTTCATTTCATATAAACGCAGTTCTCCAAATGGAAGAGTTTTCGTACAGTGACGTTTTAGGTGTACTGAGCTGAACTCCAAAACGATGAGAAGCCATAGTCCATCGCGTATTTCTGATATAAACTCATCTTTGTGTAATCGAATGTGCCAAGTCCTTCAACACTTTCCGCGAAATTGTCAATAGAAGAGAGACAAATCTCCAACCTTTCTTCGATGTTGCAGACAATCAAGGTAGCAAGTGATGTTCGCGTCTCCAATCTGACGAATGACTCTTCTCTGGATGGAATCCAGCAGCTTCAGGGTATGCTTAGGGCCGGAGCTCCATACATGAGAACCATACTCCAAAGATGGTCTGGTCTGAACTCCATAAATCATCAGAAGTTGCTAGGGTGTATACAGTTTTGTGCTTCGGAAAAATGTACCTGTAAGGACAGTCGACAATTTATCTTGTGTCCAGAGTGACGGGAACCCACACTTCTTTTTGTTGTTTCAATGCAGACCGGCCAGCAGTTACAAGGAATCCAGTATATCATAGTTCCAATTCAAATTGGAATCACGAAAAGAAATGTGGGTACCCGTCTCTCTGAACACAAGAGAAATTGTCGACTCGGGCAAACAGATAAATCAGCTGTAGCTGAATATGCTCTCCGCATAAGTAGCACACACGTCTCATACGTATCATATATAAAAAAATGCTCTGTGACTCCTTGGTACTCTCACTCTTCAACCACTGCGATGTGATATACAGTCCTTGCTTGAATGGAGTAGATGCCCCACGAATACAGAAAATGCAAAATTCATGTGTTCGACTTATATATCTGTTTAAAATCTGTTTTTCCGTTAACCAGCTGTTGCACCCCTACGAACGACAACTCTCAGAAGTCGAAACTTGTGCGAGCTAAGGACTAACGAGGTCTTNGTTCATTCACATAAAGGCCTAAAAATTTTGTGTCGTGTTTTCTCGAAATATTTGTATCATTTGAGCGCAGTGATAAATCTAGATTACATTTTTTTGTCTGTTATGAAAACGATTGAAATTGATCTTTTCCACGTTAAACTGCAAGTAATTATCAATGAACCATTAATTTATGTTATTCATAAGAATATTGCATTGTTCGTTAAGAATTGTTTCTTCTCTATTGAAAACAACTATAGATGTATCATCTGCATACAAAGTGTACGAGTCTCCATCATAACTATTTGGAAGATCGTTTATGTAGCAGAGAAATATTTATTTCATGCCCAGTGAAGTTATGACTAGATTACAAATAATGCCATCTCTCTTTCCTCTCCTTTTTTTCTTCCTTCTCTTTTTTTCCTTCTACTCTACATTGTAGAATCCTCTTTCTTTTTCTCTTCAGGCCGTGATGAGAGAACAGAAGCAGTCTCTGCTGCCATCTGAAATTTTCCTTTTTTGTTTTTGTTAATCATATCTTCATCAAAGGACATGTTTTCAACTGTAATATGTGGTGGGAAATGAAACTATTATTATAGTCTATTTCAAAAAAGTGTAGAGTAATAAAATCTCATTAAGTATTCAAAAGCGCTACAGGGTGATCCGTCAATAAATTCTGTCACTTCCCTAGTCCGCATTGCAAAATTATGTCGTTTCATAAAGAGCAGGTAGGTATCACCCTGTTTTAAGGGATTTGTCCATTGTTATCGACGGATAAATACTGAGCCAGAGGCGCGCTAGTGGGATAATTGCCAAAAGAATATGCATTCATAAAAATTATATTAAAGGAAATAAAAATTTAATACAGCAGAACAGTGTTATTAAAAAAATATAAAATGTAACAATAAAATATATACGAACCGAAATCGGGAAATACTCACAAACACACACGAACGAACTTTACGTATTGAAACACTTGTGGGGACTTTAAATCAATTTATTCA